TAACAATAGATGGGTAAGTCATGATCAGGGGTTTATCCCAAATAACTTATTCCTAATAATAGTTAACCAAAAGAAGTTTATAAATGATTTGTTTTTATAATGAAGAGTAAAATCTGCATGTTCATTAGTTAATTCTCATTCAACTGTATTGGGATATGCTTTGCTGAATGTAAGAAAGTTCGGTGAAATTGTTCTTAACCCTAGTAGGAGTTAATTTCTATAGGAATCTCAAGTTCTGATCTAAAGCATTACGACCTATTTCCTTATTGTGAGCCAATAATCTCTCCTTACATATTCAGGTCTCTCCTCTTCCCTCCCATCCCATCTGTGGTCCAAGCCAATTCTGGAAAGGCCTCCAAAGGAGTTCTCTGTGTCATTTGCACAGACTGTAGGAGGATCCTTTTTAGTTTTAAGACTCAGAAAGTGCCTCCCATACCTCCAAAAAAGAAAGGCACTTGTCCAAATATTCAAATATATCTGTCCTACTCTTAAATTGTCCTCTCCCTGTTTCCAGCTATAGACAACTGGAACTGCTATTAGTAAGTCAGGCACACATACTCCTCATTTGTTAAAGGGCTGGCTGTCCCCTCCACATTCTTCCACACCCCTCCAGGGATGGCAAGGAAACTCCCTCCATACCAGCCAAACAAAGCTTGCTCCTTGCGAATTCTCTTCAGGGTTCCTTTCTCTTTCGCTAGCTGCCTGTCCACCTCTGATTGCAGGGATTTTCATGTGTCCACGGGATCGCAAGAATCACCCCTCTCACGTTTCCGACAACCCTTGAGCACTAACAATATCTAGCCAGGCCCCCATTGGCACTGAAATCTCCAATGTTCCCGTGGTGATCTCCACCTTAAAGACCTTGGACTAGTTTGGGTCACACCCTGATTCCTGACACTAAGTTAGGGCAGGAACACAAGCCAGGCAGACTCTCTGCGTCATCAGCTGTTGCAAACCTGGTCGGCCTGAGAAGGCCTCTCGGAAACGCAGGCGCCGACCTGACCAAGCCGGCGCTGATCCCGGTCACTTCCTAAGTAGCAGAACGGGCATTTGCGCTCTGAGGCCGCCCGAGGCGACCCCGAAGCCCCCCGAGGCGACCCCGAAGCCCCCCGAGGGGCCAATAGACATTTGAACGACTAGCACTAGGCCTGGTAGGTGAAGGGAGGTGGGTGAAGGGCCGAATCTTGGACTGAAAGGAAAGGAGGGGCGACAGAGCTGGAACCCGAACGCCATAGCTTCAGTGACCCTCGCGGCCCCGGTGACTGAGTGACCATTAAAGGACTTGCAGAAGGGAGGAGTTGGGGATCGCTCCCCACTCACCTGGAAGCGGCTGCTGCCAAAGGCTTCAGCCCTCGCTTCCCAATTTAAGCCACGTCAGCTCGGGAATCCCGTACGCACCACCTACTACCGCCGCTCCCGCAGGGGACTCAACCACTAGCTGTCCAAACGGAGGAAAGCTGTAGAATACCAACCAATCAGAACTATCCTCAGGGCGTTACCAGGGAGACCGGGCACGCCTGGTTTGTAACTAATCCGTCAACAGTGACCGAAGCCAATCAACGCCTGGAGATCTCCGCTTCCTTAAAGAAACATCCAATGGACTCTAAAGAACGCATATGGGGCGAGGTCATCAACGATGATAGTTCCGGAAGAAGATCTGCAAAAGGACCGGAAATGTCAGGAGGGCGGGCGTTCCGGAAAAGGTCAGGTGTGTATGGTGTAGAGAAGGATGCTGATTTTTTTCTGATTCCTCTGCCAGGTTCGCTGTGACTGCCTCAGACCATCAGCGGGGCTTCTGTGGAGACATCGGACGGTGGGCCACCCTCATTTTAAAACAAACTGTGAGAAGGCAGTGGGAATACGTGTTCTGCTTTTAGAATTTTAAAATAATAAAGACGGAAAAAAGCTTGTTTGGGTATCTGCTATGACTTTTTGATTTTTACTGATGAAGAATAAGAACCAGAGAAGTGATCTGATGTCAAATGTTGTGTCAAACACAGAGACATACCGAAGTTGGAGTGGTGGTGGTGGTTATGTGCCTTGCAGTCCGTGGTTGTTGTTTTTGTTAGGTGCCATCGAGTCGGTACCGACTCATAGGGACCCAATGCACAACAGAATGAAACACTGCCAACCTCACAATTATTGCCACATTTGAGCCCACTGATGCTGCCCCTTGGCCAATTCATCTCGCTGGAGAGCTTCCTCTTTTTTTCTGACCCTCCACCCTATCAAACATGATATCCTTCTCCAGCGACTGGTCCCTCCTGACAATATGTCCAAAGTATGAGAAACCAAATTTGGCCATCCTGGCCTCCAAGGAGCATTCTGGCTGCACTTCTTCCAACACATGTGTGTGGAGTCGTTAGGACCGGAATCTGTGCTAAAGACATTGGAAAGGGAAAGAGAAAATAACAAAAGCTAGAAAGATGGCTCTTAGGAAGTGGCGCTTGGGTTGCATCTTGTTGATCTTAACAATCCCACACTGCTTAAAGAAATCCATCATGACGGTCATCTAGGGTCACATTGTCATTGAATCCTTGCACATAAATCTCACTGTTGTCAGAGTCTTCATTTGGATCTCCAGGTGGGCCTAAATCAAGATCTGGTCCTTCATCCCTGGGTCCACCAGGCTTATTGAAGCCACCTCGCTCTCCAGCACTGCCCATTGCACAGCCTCCTTCTCCCCGCCCACCTCTGGCTCATGCCTCCACGATCAAATCCCCTTCTTCCCTGCCCCAGTTATCAAGGCCTCTCATGCTCCGGTTCTCTTCTGGTCCGGAAAATCCTCCAGACTCCTGCCCATAAAAACCCATGCTACTGGGGTGCTCCTGTTGGAATGAACTCTGCTGCCCGCAGCTGCTGCTCTATTGGCTATATTGACTTGGAGCCTGGCTGTAGGATCCAGTCACGGGGTGGGAGAATAGTGATCAGCTGCTGCCCATAGCTGCTCGGCTGTCCACAGGTGTTCTGCTGAGAGTAACTGCTCTGATCCTAGCCAGTTGGCTGTGAAGAGAACTAGCTGGTAGGAGGATAGGATGGAGGTGCAGTGACTTGGCTGCATGGGGTAGCTCCCAGGACTCTGGGGATAACTGTAGATACTCTGTCCATACTCCATGCTGGCCTGCTTCTCACCTCCTGTGCTAGGCTGAGGCTGACTAGTCTCAGCGGGTTTGCAGGTGCAGTGGCTGCTGGCTGCTGCCCATATGTTGGATAGACAGATTGAGTGCTGAGGGCAGACGGAGCTGCATAGGAGGCCTGGGTGGTGGTCACTGGAGCAGCAGTGGTATCGTCATAAGCACCAGTGCCACAGCCCTGGACAGGCTGGCTGGAGGCCTGTGGAGCAGCCGCAGTGCTAGAACCAATAGGAGGCTGTCCATAAGCAGTTGCAGTGGTCTGAGCCTGGGTAGA